TTGTCAGTCATGATTAGGCAGGAATGAAATAGATTAAATGAGAGAGAGAGAGAGAGAGGGAGGGAGGGAGGGAGGGAGGGACACAGAGAGAGAGAGACACAGAGAGAGAGAATACAGACTATAGAATGCCTGAAATCCCTGGCCACTAAATTCAGAAACCCATTTGATGAAATTGAGGACAATATGCAATATGTAAAGAAAAAAAGGTTGATTTCTTTTAACATTTTTATTATTACTTTATTTTTACAGTCTAGCTGTTACCTGCTTCCTTGTCCACCTTCCCATAGTTCCTCATCCCATTCCTCCTACCCCCTTCCCTCCAAGACGATATCCCCATCTCCCCCCCACCAGGCTTCCTAACACCATGAAGCATCAAGGGTTAGGTGTATCTTCTCCCACTAAAGCCAGACCAGGCTGTATATGTGTCAGGGGGCCTAGGATCACCTGGTGTTTGTGGCCTGGTTGGTGGCTCAGTGTCTGAGAGATCTCAGGGGACCTTGTTAGTTGAGACTGCTGGTCTTCCTATGGAGTCATTTGATTTTTGGTGCTCAATAATACACAACAGTGTACTTTGGAGATCAGGAAGTTTTCTATTAGAAAATTTAAATTATAAGCCATTTAACTCTTGTTGCCTTTTACAAGTTTGTGTCTGGAGACTTTGTTTTCCAAAATTGTAAAAAGCTGGTATTGTTATGTACTGAATATTTAGTTTCTTCCAAAATTCGCTAGTTGAATTTCCCATTAAGTATGATACTGTTTGGTGAAGTAATCAATTTAAATAAGACATAAAGTATTACCAGGCTCTAATAGTGTGCCTGTGTAGTAGGGTTCAGTCTCTGGCTTTGACCACACTTTGAGGAAAAGCAAAATAATCATGCAGAAAGTCGGCGACTTCTTAGATAAGAAACCTCAGAATGAAACCCACCTCGGTAACACCTTGAACTTTAACTTCTTCCAGAATTGTGAAGAAGTTACTGTATGTGATTTAAAGCCACCTGGTCTACAGAATGTTGTCACACCTCTATTTGCCTAATAAAAATAAATATCATGATTAATTGCTAGGCAATTTTCTTTAGTGTTATACAGTTGTAGTTATATGTGTGCTATTGAATCTTGCTCAACCAAGTTAACTGCATTTCATATTAAGCTAAATTGAGTACAAGATACACAATAGTCTAAAATTGATCACAAAAAAATCAAAGCAGCTTGTGTATGATGCTTGTCCAAACAATAATCTCTGCAAGAAATGTCTTCATAGCCTACAAGTAATAGAATTTAGCATTATGTATTTTACATTTATACTTTTCCTGATAGTCATCTCTGTTTTACTCATTTTGTTCTTGTGGTTTATTACTTGAATCTTTGGCTTGTCACATGAATTATTCAATTTAGCATAACAGGGTATTTTGAGTAGATTCAACAACCAGGAAAATGTCCATTGGTTCATAGAAAGTCAGGGAAAACATCTGAGTAAAAGGACAGACTCTAACTTGAATAATGTACTTAGCATAGGTTAAAAGTTAATGGGAAAAACTTCAACCTCATTTGTCAAATTCTACTTTGAAGTAAGAACCATGCTTTAGTTTGTAGTTTGAAATTACCAGCTGAAACAAAGTTTATCCCTAAAACTCTAAGACATATTTATTTGTCCTTCCTAAAATATAGAGTATCTGCCAAGATATTGAGACTGATTTGAAAATATACAACATTAGCTACTCACGTTGTTAAACATACTGTTCTGGTGACATTTAACAGTGTTCAGTAATTGGCTTAATGAACAGGTGTACAAGTATATTAGTTATGCAGATGTTAATTTGCAGTAACATGTGCTTCCTGATTTTGGAGGGGGGTGGTTCTTGTATAAACTACAACTAGTAAGGTTTGTTCCTTAATTAGGAAATCATTACGAAATATGTGTGTATGTGAATCCCACCATTAGGACCATTAGTCTTGTTAATGTGCACTGAACTTAAGGAACAGTCCTGATAATGCCATTCCTATTGCTTTAGATACTATGCAGGTGTCAGGATAAAAATCTACTTTTCTGTAGGATGCCTTACTGTGCAGCTGCAGACGGGAGGGAAAGGGGAAACTGCACAGCTGTCCCATGTAGTATGGAAAAGCAAGCAGGAATGCAATCTCTTTCTTCATGTTGCATCAGCATTCCCTTTCAAGGTTTCATAAACAAATGTGCTGCTCTATACAAAGACAGTTGAGCACAACTGGGTACTTTGTTACTTGCCAAACTGAATAAGCTTTACCTACATTTAAAAGATTATCATCTTTACTATTGTTTGTGGTTTCTACATTTGTTTTGCAGGATTTCCAAGGCCACCAATTTATAAACTGTTGAAAGACATTAGGGCTTTTATATGTATTATTCTGGATTTTTATTTCTGTGTTAAAAAAGTAGAAAGTTACTAAGGTTAATATAGCAAAGCCAGATAGCTACCGTCTCGAATGAATAGATGCCACCTGTGGACCTGTGCTAGGACCACTGGAAGGAACAGGGAAAAAAAATTGTACTTGAACATAAACTAGCTCTTCAGTATCATCCAAATAATTTTTAGTGGTTAGAAGTTTGTTATAATGTATTTTTTTTTAAGTTTGTCAGCATTAGAAACATTTGGAATTGGATTAATTCAAGATAAGTCAAATTCTGAGATCATGGTAAAAGATAGTTTTGAACATATGAATGCGTTAATACTTGTTGTCACTATTCTTTGTATTCTCCATCAGAGCCTCTAGTTTTGATCCCTATGGAATACTTGTTTTTTTTTTATTTTTTTTGTTGTTGTTGTTTTTGGTGTTTTGTTTGTTTGCTTCCTTGCTTTATTTTTTTAAGATGGGGCCAAAGGCAATATTAGCCATTATTTTTTTCAAAACTTGTCTAGTTTGGGGACTAATTTAAACTTGCTATACTATTTTTATTCTCAAAAGAATGGTGTACACTGATGAAATGCTTATTGTTTTCTAAATCTTAGGTTTTAGACGAGTTATATAATACAGGTAAAGTAGCCTACATTTCCTAAGGAAACCATGAGCTATAGATACTTAAGATATCTAATTTTAATTTCAAATATTTTGTTCATTTCAAAACCAAAAGGCTCAGACTAGAATTTAATGAAAAATAATAGCCAAATATAAAGTTACTAATGAGCATTAGGTACACCTGTGTTAGGCAGGCGCTTATTAGTTTAAAAATAAGATAATATTCATATAATCTTCATCTGACAGCATTTCATCCTGTATGTTCCTGTTTAATTAGTTTCCTGTGGTAGAGTTTAGGACTATTGAAGGGAGGAACATTTTCTTGACTACTTCTTTGATTGTATTAAATTTTCTGAATGTGCTTTCAGAGGTAATTTTGATATAATTCAAATTCTCTTTATTGACATCAAAAATAGCAATTGAGCTGTCATTTCTTTATGCAGTTGTCTTAAACTGAGAACAGCTTAAAATTAGAATAAATTGAAATGTTGACTGTTGCATAAGAAAGACACTGTACTTTCAGAAGGTCCTTTGAGGAACATTTATGTAGGTTTTTAAAGAAATATACTAAAAGTCATTTTTCTTTTACCAATTCCAATGATTGTGTTTTGGCAACATTGCAAAGAACTTGACATCTTTGACAAAATTATAATTTTCAAGGGAATTATTATCTAGTCTCATTAGACTGTGTCTATTCTTACGTTGATTATTCCACTAAACCTTATAATATTTAAGATTCATTCTGTAGTTAATTTACTTCATGTGTTACTTGTCTGCTAAGATAACAGAATTTGTATACCTTACAACTTCCACCATTAATGATAGAACCTATGGATTTGCAACATTTTCATGCATGCTTTGGAAAGCTGCAAAAGATTCACAGATGCTGATATCTTTTCTTGGCAAAGATATACTATGAGTGTTTCCCTTTCACTATTTTTTTAAAAGAAAAACTCATGTGTGAGGTCTTTAGCCAACACTAAATCAGTTGAAGTAATAAAAATAATTATTACCTCAAAGTAAACTTCACTTTTTGCCAGTGATAAGAAGAAAAAGAGCATGATAATCAGTTGTATGTATCAATGATGAAATTTTGCTGCATGAGTTTGAGTGCAAGAATACCACTTGTATGAAAAAGAAAGTCTACTTTATCTAACATCATTTAGTAGACCCATTGCCTATAGCCTTGTATTTACCATGGAAGAAGTAAACCAACAATGCTTGAACACAATTGCTAGTTCTTTTCTGTGCAGATGGTACTTGGAGACTTCACTTCATGTTTCATTTTCTTAGCTGACAGCCAAAAAAGGTTTGACAATAGTGTCTTTCAAGAGTGAATAGGGGCAAACACTTCTGCTCCTTGATGCTGCACACCTTGTTGCTTCAATCCTTACAACCATTTGGAGAAACAATAAATACAGGGTTCTGAGCAACCCACCATCTGTAAGGATGCATAGTTATTTATATGCAAATGGGTGGTACCCTTTTACAACTTAGAAATGCTTTAAACCAGTTCTTCCAACATGACTCAGTGGGGAGTTTTACTGTTACAACCCTTTTTAACAGCTACAGTTACCTTAGGTGCTTTCAAGCAGTTTCACTGAAAATAATAAATGTCTAAATATTAGCATGTTTTAGGAGAAAAAGCATGTCTTCCCTTTTCCTCAATTAGTCCAAATTAGTGAGATTTTACTTTTATGTTTAATTCCAGGGCTGCCCCAGTTACCTGTAAAGCAGTAATTTATGTTACACATTAGTGAAAAAGCAGCAATTGATTTTTAGTTCTATTTGGCTTATCTTTTCTGCTTAAGTGCTGATATTTAATTTGTAGGGAAACCTCTAAACAGGTCTATATTTTTATGTTTATCATCTTCCATGAGCTAATGAAATAAACACATTTATTGATTTCAGAATCACCTTTATTAATGTAGTTAACATGCCTTCCTAATGTTATTTCATGTACTTGGATTAAAACCATTATTGTTTATGAATCAACATTTTTCTTTCAGGTCAAAGGAATGCAGAGGCTGCAGAAGAAAATAGGAGTGGGCCTCCAAAGAAGAAAGTGAAGGAATTGAGAATTTTAGATACCAAAACAGCCCAGAATCTGTGTATGTATTGTGTTCTGCTAGGCATGTTGGTGATGGTTAACTCAGTATAAACAATCTAACAACTATGAACAGATTCACTGCTAAAAATAGAGTCCTATATAAATATAACTCAGGTTTCCTCATGCCACTTAACCAAATTGAAGACAATAATAATTGAACATCATTTAACCTGCTAGAACCTATGATTTGTAAAGGTTTGGAATACATTGTTAATAAAAACTTCCTTAGTGGACATAATGAAACATAATATAAGTTGGTACTGAATATGTACCGTTAGGTTTTTCCATTATTATTTTACTGAGTAGACCTAGGATTCATATTTTTAGAAGTATTTCTTGTCATTTTGGACAATTCATTTAATTGCTATTCTTTTGTTTAAAATAATTGTAATGTGATCTAGTTAAATTGTTAGCCACTGCACTTTAAAACCAGTTGCTGATCCTTGAAGCCTTTAGCTAAGCACTGAGCCATTAAATGTGGTATTGGTAATGTAGCTGGATAGTTAAATTCATGGCCATTTAAACAAGTCTCTAAGTTTTACTTTGACATACTTTTTCTTCTAAATTGGATTTAGAATATTTTTTATCACTACATAAGGGTGGTTAGATACTGATGATACTAAAACACTCTTGTGTGAGAAACTTTAACACATCCTACATTTCTAATTGCACACAGAATATCATGGTAGTTATTTGAGAATAATATTAAAGTAAGCAACTGACAATTCTACTATCAGGCAAAGTATAACTCATACAACTGGTCCACTAATAGATATCAAAAATTTGTGCACTACTGCAGTGGTAGTTTCCCCCCCCCCACAATGTTTATTTCAGTATTTTTTAACTACATGGTGTGATAATATTATCTACTTAATATATGACCATGAGACTTATTTTAGTATTAGAATTCTCATTTAGTACCTGTGTTTAGGTAACCATTTTTCTAGATAGTGAATATTAATTTTGCTTTTGCTACCAGTACAATAAGGTAGAGCTTTTCATAAAAATTCACTAATAGGATTTTTCAGGTTTTACCTCTCAGAGCACATCTACACTCCTTTAAAAAGTGGGTTTAGTGAAAAATGGTACAGAATTTATTGAAAAATAGTCTCTGTTTAATTGTAATGAATTCTAGGTAATATTAGTTGAATATTTTTCCAATATGACGTAAAATCTATCCAATGAAGTAAAGGTTGACAAGGAAATGATTCAGCATATGGAAAAAGTACTTGTTCACCACCTGAGTATCAGCAGGAATGCAGAGTACATTGATGAATCCAGCACTTTAGCTCTTTCGTGAAAAGTTCAGTGGTCTCCTGCTGTATTTGTGGGCAATCCATTCCAAAACTGGCAGTGGATAACTAAAATCACAGGTAGTATTTAACCCTGGTAATATATGCTGTTTCACACAGACAGACATACGCACACACACACACCCCACACAGAGAGAGATAGAGAGAAAGAGAGACAGAGACAGAGACAGAGAGACAAATTAAAGTAAAGAGAGACAGAGTAAAGTGTGTTTTATAAATTAGTCAAAACAAGATTATAAAAATAACAGTAACTCAATGCAATTTTAACAATATTCCTTGAAAGAAATGCTAATCAATAATGAACATAGTTTTTTTTTCTTTCAGAATATCTCATTATACCTGTATCTCTATTCTTGTGATGATATGAAATTATTTATTTTAACAAAATGCATGAGAGCTTCTCCTTGGTATATTAAAGTGGGCTTCATAAACACGCCTATGTTTTGGGGTGATTGTTAAGACTGATATAGGCTACTTTAAAGTAAACATTGTCATGGTTTCATAGCTAATCTGATAACTCCAAAGACTATTGTGTCAGTAAATTTTTTCTCATTGTGAAAGAATACTAGAGTAGGCCAACTAAAAAGAGAAAAGTGCTACTTTAGCTCATTGTGGGTCAAATCTCCTCACTTCATAATTATGAAAAAGCTGAGATCCAGAGATAAAGAGTTTGTGGACAAGATATACAATTCAGCTCATACTCTCATGCTCCTGGTGATTGAATTCTTTGATTCCTGCCTTAGCTTCTAATAGAATATTCAACAATTTATTCAAAGTATCAATAGTACATTCATCTTGAAGTCTTCATGACATTTGTCAAATTTCTTGGAACCAATTACTTTTCTAAGACGCCATGTCTGAAATTTGCAGTTGAGAGCAAGCAGGTAGTATGAGAGGTTTGGGAAATGCATATCATATCTAAGCTGTAACAGTCAACAGATCAGGAAGGAGCAGGTAGCGTGAATTTCTCAGATCTAGGGTTTGATGAAAAATTGGGAGTCAGAGTGAGATGGCATACAGTTTCATGGTGCTACTCCAAATAAAAATGTAAGACCCACTAACTAAATATTTCTTTAACTTTCTATTGAATATATTTAGATTGTTTGAGGTACAGGATGTGAAATAGTCAGATGGTAGACCAGGAGGGGGATAAAATTTGGACTGTGAAAAAAAGATTAAATAAAATAAAAAAAATAATCCATCCAGCAGCTTATAATTCTGTAAATTAGTATATTCCTAACAAAATAGCATATTCTAAGTCTATAAAGTGGCAACTATATATGTATTAGGACTCTTAAAATTTGATACTATTCTGTCTTTAATAAAACCCAATTTTATTTTAGCTATCTTCCTTGGATCTTACCGCATGTCATACGAGGAAATAAAGAACATTATTTTGGAGGTTAATGAAGAGTTGCTCAGTGAGGCCCTTATTCAGGTACATTGGATATCTTTAGTTTTAAAATTATGTTAATAGACATTTTAGAAGTGTCTCTTCTCAATGATATTGTGGAAAAAAATGTATTGATGATATGAACAAGTAATGTTTTATGGATGATTTATCATCAGGTTTCATGGAGGTATCACAGTTTGTCTGATGTATATTTTCAATGTGGACATGCTTATTTCCAATAGGATTAAGGTTTGCGTGGTATATGGTAACTTTTTACTATCATGATGCACTTTTATATATGAGAATAATATGTTCTCAATAATCTTCTTGTGGAAAAAGTAAACATTAACAAGGTTTGCTTTATTGTTTTTAAATTCTTGTGGACAACAAGCATGTCCATTGTTCTTTGGCTTAAAATGAGGAGCTGATCACCTTTGTCCTGGAAGATGCACATTCATGCACATATAATCATAATGATGATGATGATAATAATAATCTAAAAAATATTAAAAAGGTAAAACTTGGTGAGACAGAGAAAGAAAAATGAACAGACACAGAGATATTTTTGTATGAAAATGATAAAATATGTATAGTGGTCTAAAGTACAGGAAGAGATAAGGCAAGTCAAAAACAACCTTCACATAGCACGTAGGAAAATTCTGGAAGTATCAAATTTTTAAGCAGGATTTCAATTTGGTTTTCTGTTCCACACTTTTTCAGAATGCAAAGCAAGATGTAATGTATCAATTTTAAATAGTACTGTTTTGACTGTAATGTAGACCAGATCAAACTAGGAAATTTACTGAACTTCAACATAAGTTCTTAAAACATGATTTTAAAAATCAGAACATTTTTAAAAATTATACTGGCGTTGACAATCAACAGCTTGATGCTTCATATTTGTAGTAGTTTTTCCATTTGCTGAGGTACAAAGAGGAAAACTAACGTTCTAATAAAGAGAAGCATGCTTACATTGATTGACTTCAAATTATGATCCTATCTTACTACAATTTCATTACATAGGAAAGATTTAAAAGCTTTCATTATTGATGTGTCATAAGTTTACTTGTCTTGCCTTGACACATTTTGAAATATTATGTCACGATCCAACAAAAGAGGGCTACCTAGTCACAGTTAGTGTGCCTTGTTCATTCAATTATTGTGCAAAAATCCTAGTGCAGGCGAGTGCAGGTGTCTCTGGAGGCCAGAGGCATCAGCTTGCCCCAGGAGCTGGGATTCTAGAAATTTACACACCATCCTAAGTGTATGCGGGGAGCCGAACTCAGATCCTCTCTGAAAATAGCACACTCTCTCATCCTCTGGCCCAGCTCTCCATCCTGAGTCTTCTGTGTTTTCCTGGTTTCCATTTGATAAGAATTTGTTGAAAAGCCAGTTTGCTGATTATCCAATAGAGAAACATTTTGTCTCATTTCTGATCCTGGTCAATCCAAATTGATTCTCTCTTATTTAAGATGTCTGATTGGACGAGACATCTGAGTTTTTAAGTTTAATATTAGTTTTACCTGGATGAGTCCTATTTTTTTAAGATATTCTGGCAAGAAGATGCTCCTCAGGCGAAGTGATTATAGTCTTGCTGCTCCCCGAAAAGATTGCTTTTTGTGTGCCAAAAAGATAGCCATGGACTTCCAAACTAGATATGTTTGCTTCAATGATGTGAAAGTAACATCAATTTGCCATTCACATGAAGTGTTTACCATTTATGTCTAATTACCATGTAGCACATCGATAATGCACAACATTAAATATGTGTCATCAGATTAACTTTGTTGTAAGTTCAGTTTGATTATAGTGCTAAACTCCATCTAAGCATAATCACAGCTTGTTGCTCATGTAGCATAGTTGTCTCTTCATGGCAACAAAAACAGCAAAAAAAGAAAAAAATTAAGGACACATCATTTCCCAGGAACGTGAATTAACATTGGTGTTATGTCTCCTATAGCGGGTCAATAAACAATTCCTTACTAGACAACTAGAAGACTGTACTTATTTGAAAGGATAAATGACCTACTTATAAAAACTACTTTTATTTAGTAAAAAAAAAACCTACTTTGATTTAGATGACTAGTGTTTGGGCTGTATATTGTTGAAAGTAATGTTTGGTTTTTAGACACAGATATAGAACACTGAAAAAGAAATAAGCAGCAGTTTAAAAATTGTTAAATGTTAAGATAAAAATTAAAAACTAAAGTATGCATTATTTGAGATAATGCTTACAAATTATTCTTAAATGCTGGGGATAGAGGAATTATATTTCTCAGAAATATATAATCTAAGATTTACATAGAAGGATAGCATATAGTGTACGAAAGCACTCAGAAGGTTCTGAACATGGTAGTGTAAAATAATAAAACTTTCTTTGAATATAATTCTAATTAACATATTGCATTTCATTTAATTTAAAACACAGACAGTAGTAGATCAAAGTAGTAAAAACAGTACTTACAAATAACAGTAACAGAATTAATATTTTCTTTTTTCATTCCAGTTGTGGCAGATAGCAAGAAACATTTTCCATACTCATTAATATTTCAGAATTAAAGTATTTATTAGACCTGCCACTAGATCCCATATCTATTATTATACACAATTTGCTTTGGTAAATATGTTGACAACTATTTCAATACATCTGGTTTCATTTTTAATGAAATGCATTTGATTTTATCCTGAGAATTTATTCTAACATGAAACAAATCCATGAGACAACAAATAAGGACAGAACCTGATAGATATGCTTCCACAGGTACTGTGGTTATGGTAGGTTTTGTAGAACAAATTCACCTTAAACTAGACTATAAAGTATTACCAGGATTGAATAAGTGCTTATTGGAAGTGAATGGTGGGCAAATATTTGAGGACTATAAAGGATAGTATCTTTTATAATTCAGATATATTTCTGAATTAACATAGGATAGTGGTGAGCAAGCATATGGAAAGTAATTAGTGAATTGTTTCGGGTTCTATTGTACAAACAGAGATCACAATCTAATGACTGGTAGTCTGCCTCAAATGACAAAATATTGAATATGGGCAACATTCAATTAATGTAGTTATTCTCTCTCTCTCTCTCTCTCTCTCTCTCTCTCTCTCTCTGTCTCTCTCTCTCTCAATTGGTTTCTATTACTAGAATAAACAGGCAAATCCAAAGTACTTTTCAAAGTACAAAATAAAGAAAGCCCTGAACTATACAGGCATTAATCGGGGGTGGGGCTGGGGTGGGGGTAGATAGCTTCTATTTAAATATATATAGAACACACATGGTATTCACTCACTGATTATTGGATATTAGCCCAGAACCTTGAAATGCCCGAGATGCAACTCACAGGCCACATGAAGCTCATAAAAAAGGAAGACCAAGTGGGGGTGATTCAGTTCTTCTTAGAAGGAGCAACAAAATACTCAAGGGAGCAAACATGGAGACAAAGTGAGGGACAGAAACTGAAGGAGGGGCCATTTGAAGACCTTTCCACCTGAGTATCCACCCCATATGCAGTCACCAAAGGTAGATGCTGATGTGGAAGTCAGGAAGTACATGCTGATAAGGGCCTGACATGGATGTCTCCTCAAAGGCCTTCAAGAGTCTGACATATTCAGAGGCAGATGCTCACAACTAGCCATTGAACTGATCATGAGGTTCTCAATGGAGGAGTTAGAGTGAGGACTGAAGGAGCTGAAAGGGTTTGTGGCACCATGAGGAGAGCAACAATACCAACCAACCACAGCTCCCAGGGTCCTAACCACCAGCCTGGGAGCACTTAGGGAGGGATCCAGGGCTTCAGCTGAATATGTTAGAGTAGAGGGCCCTGCTGGGCACAGGTGGAAGATGAGATCCTTGACCTCATGAAGGCTGGACGCCCCAGGGTGTGGGAATTTTGAGGGTGGGGAAGTGGGAGTGGGGGGGGTAGGTGGGGGTTACATCCACAGAGAAGAAGGTAGAGGGGTAAGGGGATGGGGGATTCCCGGGTGGGTGGGGGATGGGGTAAGTGGATAACATATGAAATGTAAATAAAATATTCAATAAAAAAAAAGAAAAAAAATTTTGTTACAAGGTTGTTGTAACACTTGGATATTTAAAAAATGAAGAGACAAGCTAGGTAGAAAAAAAACTAGGACACAGTAGAAAGGGACTATAGGTATTATTATACTAAAATATGTTTCAATGATAGAATTGAGGTCAGTACCGAAAACAAGATCAGAGGGTCATTTGCAAAGAACTGATTCTTAAAGTATGAAAACTATTGAAATTCTTGAGGCTTCCATTGATAGAAAAGTGACAAATAGAAGGTCAAGGAATACATTTCTGTAGACCACCTATAGTGAGGCAATGGGTGGTGATAGTGAAATCAGAGAAAAAAGCAATATGCATGTCAAGCCAGGATAAATAAATTACAACAAAGAGGCCATAGACCTGTGAGTAGTGACTGCAGTCAAGGAGAAAAATACCTTTTACATTTATTTTTAACTTATGCATAGAAATGTAAAATGGCTCATATTAATAGAGTACTATATAATTTTGTCATATATATATAGATATCTTTAACAATTTGTCATATGATTATATTAAAAACTTTCAAAATTTGTTCTTGTCACTATTAACAGTACATCTGTGTTACCTACAGTCCTCCTCTTGCATAGAGCTCCTTTTAATATCTACAGTTGTAGTTACATCTGGTTGTTTTATAAGTCTCCATTAAAATATGCTGAAGTATACACCAGACCTCTGCAGTTTTTTAAGCAGATATGTTTATTTATGGAATTCTGTCTTCTTCCTCTCTTCATTTAAGAAACAATTGCAGATGATGGAATTTTCTGGCTTTTCATTTGCTGTTATCTCATCACCTACTTCATTTTTTCTATCATTCTCTCATATTCTCATTTCTTCTCTTTTCATTTTAAAAACATTCTTTATGTAGAGAAGGTTAAAATATGTACAAGTAATGTCTCAGATAAAATGCAGCTCTACGACACTTCATATCTGAAAACCCATGCACAAGAATATTTCTGCTCACCCCCAACTCATAACTTTC